GGGACTATTGGAAGCAAGAGCTTCTCTTTTTGTTATTTCTTTTGTAAAGCCATGGGCTTAAAATGTAATTGAGTGAAGCTCATTTTTATTGTAACCAAGTCAAGGCTTGGAAAGGTGTAAGCCGATAGGGCATTTTTCTACGTTAAACACTTTTGTATCATTAACTTCATGTAATGAAATGACTATTTATTCTGAATTATGCGATTATTATTTATGCTTCGGGTTATATTTATTGTATGATTTTGAGGGCGTTACACCTGAGGTTTCTAATTTCATAACAAATTGCCCATTTTATTAATAAATCATCAAGTCAATTAACAGTTTTTAATGATGTTATAAATATGTTTCAATTAATAATTTAGATAATTTTATTATTGTATAGGAGAACAATTATGAATATCTTTTTTTAGTTAATTCTGTTAAATAGAAATTTTTAATGAGGGGATATTTGTAATTTTTCAAACTACAAGGGCAATATGTACTTTAAGTAAATCCCAAGGAGTGTATTTGTAATTTAACCAAAAATCAAATTACATTTTTTTTTTTTTTTTTTTTTTTTTTTTTTTAAAAAAAATACAATCACAACTTCTTCTTCTTTTTTTTTTTTCTTTTTTTTTCTTTTTTTTGGTGTAGACATGGTGAACACTTTGAAAGAATGGTTGAGTTTTTGGGTTTAAATTGGGTTATTTTACAGTTGTTATGCTATCTTTGTGACTGTTCATATTTATCTAACTACAATCACATTTTTTTCATAATAAAATAAATAAATAGAAAAAAAACCATTGAAAAATAAATAAAAAGATTACTTACAGGCTTTGAAATTTTCTATTTTTCTCATAATAAAAAAAATTAATGAAAAAAAAATAACCATTAAAAAATAAATGAAAAGATTACTTACAGGTTTTGAAACTTTCTCTTTATTTTGGTTTGTCCTGACTTGGTTTGTCTTTCTAGTATAAAAAATAAGTGAAGAATTATGTGTTATAGATAGATAAATGTTTTGCCAGTAGAAATGGAAAAGGCTGCAATAGGTACGAGAGAAGTTGAAAGTGAAGAATTATGTGATAAAAGTGAAAAAGACTACAATAGGTATGTGAAAAGTTGAAAAGGGTATGTATGGAAGAAGTCAAAAAGGCTTGGGAGAAGTCAATAAGTGCTAAGTTTTTTGTTTTTTAAATCAAAAAATTAAGAAATTAAGATTGAAATATTGGAGTTCCTACAAGACTTGTGGGTTAGAAATTCTTTTTTTCTTATATAATATATATATAGATAGATAGATTGGTTTTCCTAATATGACCCATCAAGTGTATGTTGTTATTTTAGAAGATAATATAAAATATGTGAATTAGTAATTAGTATTGAGCATTGAGCATTGCTCCAAGATAACCTAATCATCCTATTTGATTGAGTTTTCAAAATATTTTGTGCTTTTTTTTAAAAAAAAAAATATATATATATATATAAACTATTTTGACCTCCCAAAAAATCAAATTTAAAAATTAAAAAAATGGTTTTCACTTAAAAAAATAGAAAATTATATGAAAATAATGACTGCTTTAATTTCTTTTCATTCTCTGATCAACCTGGATTTTAGTTTTATTGAATTAAAAAAAAAAACCTCAACCAAACAAGGTAAATAATTTTTAAAATTAAGAGTTGTTATATGTCACTATTTATTATTATTATATCTTCGATGTGATTTTTGGTAAAAAAAATTAATGAAACATCCATCTCCAAATTTGTGTAGTAAGAGAGATTTAAGATTTTTTTTTTTATTAGGTAAGGTCCCTCAACATTTTCAAAGAAAAAATTCAACTCAAATAAATTTTGTCCGACTCAGAGAAATTTCGGCCAGGACTCATAGAAATTTCGAAATTTCTCTGGTATGTGAAAATTGAGATTTCTCTAAGTTGGGCAAAATTTCTCCGAGTCAAATTTTCTCTGTAGAAATGTTGACGAACCTTAATTATTATAAAAATATTGTATATTTTTTATTTTATAAAATCATAATATGAGAAACCTTAAAAAAAATTCCCATTTTGATATGACATGGCAAATTCATTATTATTTAAAAGAAATATCATACAAATTAGCAACTCTTACAAAAAATAAAACTAAAAATAACTAACTAATGTAACATGTAACAATGAAATTTTAAAACTTAAAATATGACAAATCTCAATAAGTGTCACATCTATGAATAAATATATGAACCCTGGATTTGAAATTTATTACATAAACAGTGAAATAAATTAAGAGTAATGTTAAAGATTCTAAAAATTCTACCAAATGTCTCACAAGAGTCCCACCTATAAGACATTTGATAGAAATTTTGATAGAACTTTTGAGATCTCTAACATTTTTGATAAAATAAATACAGTAATAAATGTGAGGATAAATATCTTCAATTTTTTTTTTTTTTTTTTTTTTGTGCAAACATGCCAATTCTCTTTATTGAAATTTTTATGTATAATAATGTGCAATCTCATTTGTTTCTAATCAAAACACTCACTATTATTTTAATAATTTAAAAAAATTCCATTGATAGATCATTGCAAATGTATTTTTTGTGTAACTTTCTATTTATAATTTTTTATTTAAATAATTCTTTCTGTTTGAATACCTCTAAAAAAGTTAAGAGTTCTTTTTATTAATTAAATTAGTCAAACCCCAGTTCTTGTTTTTAGTTTTGCTAAAATAGTAAACATTTGATTTACCCTCGCCATGATTCTCCATCTTTGGTAAGAGCTCCAAATTTGGTAAGTGAAATATAGTTATTTCCTTCCAAAATAAGTAAAAGTTTAAAATTTACCCATAAGTCCTAGTTTTTGAAACGTTGAACCATTTAGTCCTAAAAATTTTCTTATGCTCCATTTAGTTCCATTTTTACATCAACATGATGTGAATGATGTAAATGATCTGATGTTTCATTCTATAATTTCAAAATTTATTGAAATCTGATAAACATTAGATGTTTTTCATCCTATATTTTCAAACATTATTGAAATTTGATGAACATTAGATGTTTGAAATCCAATGTTTGTAACATGACTCTGATGTTATTAACATTGTATCTGATGCTATTTAACATTGTAATGGGACCTTTCAGTCTATAAAAAAACTTTTAGGACTAAACAGTACATAAGTTATTAATTTGGGATTTATTGGTGCACCCCCCTAAATTTTATCCATAACCAAAAAGAAAGAAAATTTTGGCCATGTTTGATTTGATTTTCAAAATTTTGTTTCAGAATTTTTTTTAAAAAAATAAAATAAAATTTAATAAAGGAAATAAAAAGATAAAAAAAATACTTATCATTTTTATATAATCTTATTTTATAGAAGGTCATAAATAATTTTAAAATTTAAAATTATATTTTTTATATTTATTTTTATCTTAAAACATCGATTATCCTGTGGTTTAGAAAATTATAAATATTCCATTATCAAAATTATTTATTTAACAAAATTAACTGAAAAAATAAAATTTCTAACTACTCTCATATATAATAATTAAATTATCTGAATTATTAATTGAAATAAATTTTTGACATCATTAAAAATTGTTAATTGACTTGATATTTTATTTTAAAAAAAGGAACAATTTATTATGAAATTAAAAATTTTAAGGGACGTGATGCAATTTCTAAAATCATAAAAGGCAAATCATATTTTAAGCAAATATCAAGGGGAAAATTTATAATTTACCATAACTTTTCTTTTAGCATTTATTCTATTAAAAAAAAAAAGAAGCAACAAGGAAAGGAGACAAGGAAAAATTGATAAAACATCCCTCTCTAACTTTGGATAGTAAGAGAGATCCAATATTTTTTTTATTAGCTAAGATCTCTTGATGAAATTTCTCTGTAATCATATCAGAGAAATGTTAAAAAAAAAATTGCATTAGGGCAAAATTTCTCTATATCGAATTTTCTCTTTGAAAATGTTAAGAGACTCCAACTATTATAAAAATATTGAATATTTTTTATCTTATAAAATTTTAATATCAGGAATCTTACAAAAATTATCTTTTCTTTTATACCCATAATTGGTTTCTTAAATAAAAGGATAATTATAATTGTAATATTTTTACAACATATACCCCGTAATATAAAAATAAAAAAATAAGTAATTTATAACCGTGTTTCTATAGTCATTTCAATTTTCAATATCTTGTTATTAGACATGCTCCGTTTATATTTGTTTCAATAAAATAATATACATATATATATATATATATATATATGTGTGTGTATAATTTTGATTGACTTGATTTTTTTTTTTTAAATTTTCGTTATTTTGTACAATAAATATAGAGTAATATTATAAATCCACATTTATCTACTTTAACTTTATTAAAATTATCATTTTATAATTTAAATTACATATAAACCTCATGCCACACATTTAATTACAACTATGCAACCTCATTCACAATAAATTCAGAATAATCGGCTAAATTCAGAATATATAAGGGTGGTTACCTAAAATTATTAAAAGATTTGAATTATTGAGACAAACTAGCTAATTAGACTGCAGAGACGTAATATTTTGTAAGTTATTTTGAAAAGATGATTAAAAATTAAATTTTTAATTTTTTTAATTTAAAATATATATATATATATATTTATACAAATAATAATATATATAAAATAATATAATTTAAAATAAATTAAAAATTAAAATATGACTTTTAACCCTCCTCACAAGATAAGACTGGTATATATGGATAAGTTCATGCATGAAATCGCGCATGGTCAGTATCAAAACTTGTCTCTATTCACCTCAATCATATATCTCTCTCTCTCTCTCTCTCATCAATGCAATCCAAAACAACCATTTACTTTCAATGGAAAGTCCATTCTAGCCCTAGCATTTGCAATGCAATCAATTTTTTATTTTTTTTTTTGAAAAAATACAAATTTTTTACCAAATATGAAATATTTAATCATTTATTTACGCAAAAGCGACGTCTTAGTCAAGGAAGTGTAACTAGTATTCGTCACACTCCCAACAACCGTGTTTTGTTTAAAAGTCTCAGTGAGTAGCTTGAGCTTCTCAGTTGTAATTCCAATGGCGATTCGAGTGTGTTTGTTGTTGATTTTAGTTGCGAGGTCTGTTTGTGTGGTTGTGGAATCGAAGTATATGGTGTATAATACTTCACAAGGTGTAGTTCCGGGGAAGCTGAATGTTCATATGGTTCCTCACTCGCACGACGATGTTGGTTGGTTGAAGACTATTGATCAGTACTATGTCGGTTCCAACAACACCATTCAGGTCTATATCTCTCTGCCTCCCAATTTCTGCATTTTCATTGATGGGCTTTTGCTTCTTTCAGGTTCAAAATGTATTAGATTCATTAATTTTGATTAGTATTCGAGTTTATATTGATGGATTTGTGTTTGTTTCGGGCTGCTTATCTTAAAAATGTATTTGATTAATTAATTTTGATTAGTTTTGGACTTTATATTGATGGGTTTGTGCTTGTTTCGGGCTTCTTGTGTTCAAAATGTATTAGATTCATTAATTTTGATTAGTATTCAAGTTTATATTGATGGGTTCTTGCTTGTTTTAGGTGTCCCGTGTTCAAAATGTATTTGATTCATTAATTTTGATTAGTATTCGAGATTATATTGATGGGTTTTTGCTTGTTTCAGGGGGCGTGTGTTCAAAATGTATTAGATTCATTAATTCCGGCATTGTTGGCTGATAAAAATCGGAAGTTCATTTTCGCTGAACAGGTCACAACCCATATGTATTATATATATGGATTTGTTACTGTCGCAATCACACGAACATACACAGATTGAAAGTGGAATTGATTGAGAGTTATATGTTTGATTACAGGCATTTTTCCAGCGATGGTGGAGGGACCAGAGCGAGGCAGTCCAGAGTATAACCAAGCAGTTTGTCAGCTCGGGTCAACTAGAGTTGATGTATACAATTGCATATGCCCATTTAATTTTATACCTAAAACTGTGGCCTCTTTATTTGTTTGAATTTGAAATTCCACTCTTGTATAGTTGAGTTTGCGAAGATGGAAAATGAGACCACATATGGTTTTGATTGAGCACGTTGCTCACAAGAGTGGCTATTTTAAGATAATGGACTTATTCAAATTTTTATTTTTTTTTTAATTTTTGGGTGGGTGCAGAAATGGTGGTTGGTGCATGCATGATGAGGCGACCTCACATTATATTGACATGATAGATCAGACAACACTTGGGCACCGGTTTATCAAAGAGGAGTTCAATGTGACTCCAAGAGTTGGTTGGCAGATTGATCCCTTTGGTCATTCTGCAGTGCAGGCTTACCTTTTGGGGGCAGAGGTATGACTGTCTCAGTATTGGTAGTCCTTAGCATAGGTAATTGTTGTTTATGTATGGTTTTGTCATCAACTATAAAGACATTGAAGAATATTATTATCTTGAGGGAAATAAAAAAAATTGTACAATGTCAAAAAAATGGAAAAAGGGGCTAATTTGACCCACACAAGTTCCCCATACTACACACACTGCAGGTTAATTGAAGTTGGCCCTTTTGTTTATTTAGGTTGGATTTGACTCATTTTTCTTCGCGCGAATTGACTACCAAGACAGAGATAAGCGAAAAAATGAGAAGAGCCTTGAGGTTGTCTGGCAGGGCTCTAAGAGTTTTGGTTCATCTGCACAGGTGAGTAAATGAAAGTGATTTTTTTATTTGTTTCCACTGTTGTTAATTGTTATAGATCCGATAAAGATATCCATTTTTGATGCAATAATTATTCTTGTTCATTTACAAATGTCTTTTTTCTTTTTTGGTTGCTCAATTTGTTATTGCTTGACAACGAAAATTCTCTCCGTGCTAACACTCTGTAGATTTTTGCTGGTGCATTCCCTGAGAATTATGAACCACCAAAAGGTTTCTATTTCGAAGTTAATGATGTTACTGATGATTCCCCTGTTGTCCAGGTAAATTACATCGAAAAATAATGTTAATAGATCATTGAACATTTATTTGTGCATATGATCACTTTTTTGTGTCTCTTTTATGCATTGAAGGATGATATCAATTTGTTTGATTACAATGTCCCAGAGCGCATTAACGATTTTGTAGCTGCTGCTTTGGCACAGGTAAGCTGGATGAAGTTGTTTTACTGGGTACATACAAAAACCTGTTGACCTTTCCTCTCACAGTTGGTGTACTTGCTTTCAAGCAGTTTTCCTTATCCAATCTGGAAACAAAACAATGATAGTTGTTAGATATGTCAATGAAAAATATATTCTCGTAAATATACTTCTTCCATTATAAATGGAAGTCTGATTGCTTCTCTACTAGTTCTACATGAAATTGAAAAGCAATATTTCAGTTATCAATTGTACTTTACCCTGCGACAAACCTAGCTAAACCACAAAATTTAAGAACTTGATGAGTGATACTTTGAGGAATGTGTTTGAAGGACTTGTACAAAATGTTGCAAGTTTTTTTTCCTTTTCTGGTATTTCAATATTAAAGCTTGGGCTGGTTTGAAAATTTGTTTGTAATAACAAGTCTAACTATATGAGGCTTACCAGCAAGTTTGTTTATGTTTTCTCTTTCAGGCTAACATAACTCGTACAAATCACATAATGTTTACCATGGGCACAGATTTCAAGTATCAATATGCTCACACATGGTTCCGGAATATGGACAAGCTAATTCATTATGTCAATCAGGTTAGTTTTCTTCAAAATCATTTTCATGCTTTTTCCATATTTGGGTTGGAATGTGCTCCTTCATGCATTGTGCTATCTTTTTCCAATCAATTGGCTGTCCCAAGATTCTTTAAATTGATTAACCATGCTTTACCTGATATAATCACTATACAACATTGCTGAGATGGATGACACAGACTCATGCCATGTGCTGCTGTTAAAATTTGTTCTCTGTAAATGACCACACGCAGTGGTAAATATATAGAGTTATAAATGCGACAAACGTCAGCTTTGTGGCTGACATCATATGCCTTACTATATTACATAATTTAATTCATAATGCTTTTTCTCTGAACCACATCTGCTCGTGATTTATTTCCATCCTTCTTTAGCTTTATATTATGAAAGGTGAGCTTTTTCTGATTCATCTTGGCATTCCTTCATGTATGCTTGTAGGATGGGCGTGTCAATGCACTATATTCAACCCCATCAATTTACACTGACGCAAAATATGCAGAAAGCAAATCCTGGCCACTTAAGACGGATGACTTCTTTCCGTGAGTTCAAGATTTGACAATTTGAAATTTGAAATAACTGCTCCTATTATAACCCACTTGACTGGAGCTTTGGTGTATGCATTTATCAGATATGCAGACCGTATAAATGCTTACTGGACGGGATTTTTTACAAGTAGGCCTGCTCTGAAAGGCTATGTGAGAATGATGAGTGGCTACTATTTGGTAGGTTATGCAAATATTTTGATTTCTTTGATAAGCAAATTGCTTTATGCTTTTTCACAGTTGGAAGAATTTCAAACATCTGAGATGCATTAGATTCCAATAAATGATAGGCTGCAAGGCAATTGGAGTTTTTTAGAGGGAGGAGTGAAACAGGGCCCACTACCAACAGTTTGGCTGATGCTTTGGCAACTGTTCAACATCATGATGCAGTTACTGGAACTGAAAAGCAGCATGTGGCTGATGATTATGCAAAACGGCTGTCAATAGGCTACAAGGAGGTGAAGATTTCCCTGAGAGCCCCAGGATTTAACTCTTAATCGATTTTGTTATTCTTATGCTATGACCATCACAAATCAAATATATTTTGCAGGCTGAGGAGTTAGTTGCAGCTTCACTTGCTTGTATGATAGAATCACCAACAAAATCTGGATGCAAGAGTCCTGTGACAAAGTTTCAGCAGGCAAAAAATAATGGCCCTATATGCTTATTAGTTTGAGTTTCTTCTTCTTCTTCTTCTTCTTCTTCTTCTTCTTCTTCTTCTTTTCTTTTTTCTTTTCTTTCGGTTGAAGGAAAGGGGTATTCATAGACACACTATGGGGAAATACTCGACAGGGTTTTCAGAAGGATCAAATCAACCACATTTTTCTTGTTTGCAAGAGTTTTCTTTTCTTTTCCCCTAGTTTGTTTTCTTTGCCACAGTTTTGGCTGATGTAAATTATTTATTTAGTTCTTGTCTTATTCCAGTGCCCACTTCTGAACATAACTTATTGTCCTGCAACAGAAGTTGATCTATCTCTTGGGAAAAAAATGGTAAGGATTATGTTTCAACAATTTTTTCCTTTTCTTTTTACATTAGGTAGGAAAAGATATTAATTTACTTGAAATAGGGCACTTAGAATGCCTCCTCTTCTGTAGGTTGTCGTTGTCTACAATTCCCTGGGGTGGAAAAGAGATGATGTTGTCCGAATTCCTGTAAGTATTTTGTGTTTACTTCATGCCTTTTCTTTAGCCTTTGTTGTCTTTACTGCTTCATGTGTGTATCAATCCTGTTATATATTTGATTTACTGCAAGTGCTAGAACAGTAAACTTCTTTTTTAAGACGACTTCAATAAATTGTGCTGTTCATCTGCCTTCAAAACAACATGAAGAGAAGGGGGAGTGCCGGAAGAATTTTGTATGCATTAGCATTGCAGCATGCTGTTGTCTTTGTCATATTAAAGCTTCATTATTGTTATTTATTTATTTGACCTGAAGAAAGGTATATGATTGAAAATACAGCTGTTATATCCAGTTCAATTCTGAAAAAATACTTATTTATATTTCTGTTTTCTTAGAAAAGAGCCTTCTCGCTATGACTTTGAAGCAACATAGAATTTTTGCTCACTCAATACCTGCATGTATGTGTCCTACACTTGCCATAATTTAAGTGTGTATGTAAGGGTATGTGTATGCTTGTGTATAAATGTAGTACCATGAAAATATTCTTCTGTTTATTACCTTTAAAAAAATAGTTAATATTTTAATGGTAAAAAACACACTGCTTTATCAAAAAAAAAAAAAATTTCCCGTTAGTGGAAGGTCAATTTGAACAATTTGTTTGTGAACTTCCACACATTATCTATCCTAATTTGTAAACTTGCTACAGGTGATCAACAAGAATGTCATTGTTCAGGATTCCAGTGGAAAAGAAGTTGAATCACAGCTTGTACCAATTGCTAATGTTTCTCTAGGCATGAGAAACTACCTTGTTACTGCATATGTTGGTAAATCTCCAAGTGCGAACACCACGTGTTGGCTTGCATTTACAGCATCTGTTCCACCTCTTGGTTTTAGCACTTACGTCATCTCAACTGCTAAACGGACAGGTTAAACGCTGAATTGCTATATTTTAAGAGTACTCATGAAATGTAGAAAAATCATTTAATTCATTTCTTCATATATTGATGGTTGTATTTCTTTTTGTACCATTTTACAAATGCAGCCTCTACTTCAGTGACACAAACATCATACAAGGTCACGGGAAGTCAGAATGACACTATAGAAGTAGGGCCAGGAAATTTGAAGCTTATTTATTCTGCAAATGAAGGAAAACTTACTCAATATGTTAATACAAGAAGTTCGGTGTGTATTTTATCAGCCCTTACTTTATTTACATTTCATAGATCTTCTATTCTTGTATCAGGGGCAGAGCTACATAGAAGCTAAGGTGGGCCTTGGGCCCCATAATTTAAATATTTTTCTGTACATTGAACTTTGGGCCATTCCTTGAAAATTTAAGGTGGTCATGCAGAAGTAACAGTTTTCTGTGACATGCCAACTGGGCCTTTTGAGCTATATGCCGTGGCTATGCTCTGTTCAATCTGCCCTTTTTTTTAAATCTTATATCTATAATTAGATGAATGGATATGATTGTGTTATTGCTTTCAAATGTCTGGAAAACATGCCACCTCTGCTTTACTCATTCTTTCTTTGAACTTTTTGATATGTATTTACTCTGGTATTAATTCAAATTGAAGGTCAAATCATCTATGGAGCAATCATACAGCTATTATTCTGCATATGATGGAAGTCAGGATCTTGAGTATTTTCAGGTAATTAAAACTTACTTTTTTTCTGTGTGTCCCAGTTGCTTTTGTATCATTGTTTGTGCATCTCTTTATTTACTGTTTCTCTTTTCATTTGATTGGATTACAATAATATATTATCATTTCAAGTTAGTTTATGAAAACTTCACCAATAATTTTTACATCTTTCTTTTCTGTTTCTTGTTGAAGGCCTCCGGAGCTTACGTCTTTCGTCCAAACGGTTCATTCCCCATTGCATCTAATGGGCAGGTATACAACACCTTTCAAATCATTTACTGCATGCACATGATCTATACTGATGGCAATAATCAAACTAAGGAGCTGTACTTGAAACTGCAGATTACTTTTACAGTGTTGCGCGGACCAATATTTGATGAAGTTCATCAGAGCTTTGGTTCATGGATACAACAGGTAATTACCTTGCTAGGTCCTTTTGTTTTTCTGTTTTGGTTTTTCATCTAGATTATGATATTTTTGAAAAACATGGTTAACAAAATCAAGAGTAGGTCTTGCATATGTCGACAGACAAGCTTTTAATGAAATTTGTAAGTACATGAGTTTGAGACTGCCATGTGGCATTGCTATGATAAGACCACGAGACACCGCCATGATGACAGCATCACCCATGAAAATTGTTACAGCATACCAACCTCGTGAGGTGGCACACAAACCAGCAAAGCAACTCCATGCGCTCCCCTTTGTTGTTGAGCCATCAGTCTTGGCTGGTGCAAGTGGTGGCCAAGCTATGGTCTTATGCATGGGGGATTTGGTCAAAACCTCCTTATAATAAAATTTTAATGCATTAAGGACAACCACAAAAAGTTTTTCTTGAAAAGTCCAACAAATATCACTATTATCAAAATATTAAACTTTAAAATAATTTAACTTTTGATGTAGATTTCGGTTTTTAATGAAATTAATATTTTTAGAATTCTCTTATCAAGATCTATCAAATAAGATCCATGTTGACTATGAAATTCTTTTTAAAAAAAAATTATTACCGTTGAAATTGATATAAACAGTAACAATAACATGTTATTTTGTCTCACAGTAACATGCTACTGTAGTTCATAGTAACATGTTACTCTGATAATATTGTCCAAGAGAAAGAAAAAAAAAGATATTGTACTTCATCCTTACTCAATTATGAGTTTTCTCCTTAGGGGTTTATGAAGAAAAACAAATTGGATTGTCCTTTTCACTAAACAAGGGTCCAATGAAGGGGTTTTGACTAAATTTCCCCTTATGCATCTCAAACTGTTTTACATGGGTCCTCAGCTTGCTTGAGTACTCCACACTCAAGATTGATCCATTGTTATACTTAGGAAGTTATTTAGGCCTAGTTTGGGAAGACTAAATAAGTGTACTTTTTGACTTTTATGAAATATGGGTTGGGTTTGGGTTGGGTTTGAAGTGATGTGTTAGAGAGGTGATGTGACTTAAATAAGATGATGTGACTTAAATAGGATAGTGACTTTTTGACTTTTTGTCTTTTTTTAATCATGCCAAACTTGACCTTAATACCCAACATTGTGGCTCTCCTGATATAGCCTTCGAAGCTTAGCATACCTACCCTCTGACACTCCATGACACAACCCCCAAGGTCTGATCCTGATACAAAGGGTGGTTGAGAAACCTTCATATTGCCGAACCAAGGCGGTTGCCACTTGTTTCTGAGCCTATGAGATTGAACGCAGCTCTACATATCTCCACTGCCATCTTCTTTTCTCTCTTAGATTGTCTTTGCTGTGTGTGTTGGCTAGAACTATTGTGATGGTACTTCGAAATGTGTGGATAAGATCCGAAAAGCAGGATTAGTACAGATTTTTAGTCTCACGAAATGATAGAAGCCTAAAATTAAAAATATGTCAGCGCTGTGTGTTCATCTGAAAATTCTATTTGTGTTCTTAAGGTCCTACTACACCTCACCAACCTTCATTCACAAGGTGGGAAACTATTTCTTAAATAGCATTTAGATTGTAATGTGCTGCTAATTGGAGGAAAAAGTTCATGTAGTAAAATATTAAGTTGTAGAGACAGTAATTCAATTCTGATGATGCTATGTCATAGAACTTTACCATTAAAAAAACATAACATAAGGAGTGACATCTTGTTCAACTTTTGCTAGTGGCTTAAGAACTGTAGTCTGCAAAAGAAACTTGTTTTAAGTGACTTATGATCTCTGTGTGTGTGTGTTGGCTAGCACTATTGTGATGGTACTTCGAAATGTGTGGATAAGATCCGAAAGAATAAGCAGGATTAGTACAGATTTTTAGTCTCACGAAATGATAGAAGCCTAAAATTAAAAATATGTCAGCGCTGTGTGTTCATCTGAAAATTCTATTTGTGTTCTTTTGGTAATGTGATGTTGATTGTGTGAGCAGATCACTAGAGTGTACAAGGAAAAGGAACATGCTGAAGTTGAATTCACTGTAAGTAAATTCTTGTTTGCCATCATCTGTGGTTGCATGAGTTCTTCATGATGGTTAGAATAGTAAAATTGTATATTAAAGAGAGTTTGTTCTTGTTAAAGCTCTTCCAATAAAAATATACTGAATTTCAGGTTGGCCCTATACCTATTGATGATGGAATTGGAAAAGAGATTGTTACCCAGGTTACAACAGCCATGAAAAGCAATAAGACATTTTATACAGATTCTAGTGGACGTGATTTCCTTGAAAGGGTATGTTGGGCACTTGCATTTGTTGCCATCTACTAGTTTTTACCTATGTGGCTTGTACCTTATTCATCAGTTGACACTTGGCGGGGACATTTTTTCAGTATCTTTACAATTTGCATGTCGCTAGAATTAGGTCAGCACTAACAAACTTGTGTTAACAGAAGGAAATGATTTTATTTTGCAGATTCGAGATTATAGAGCTGACTGGAACCTTGAAGTGAACCAACCTGTTGCAGGAAACTACTACCCTGTATGTTTACATTATAAGTGGCACTATTTAGATATTTAGGCCAAGTTTGGCATGTCTTGAAAAAGACAAAAAGTCAAAAAGTCACTATCCTATTTAAGTCACATCATCTTATTTAACTCACATCACTTTTCTTACACATCACTTCAAACCCAACCCAAACCCAACCCATATTTCATAAAAAAGTCAAAAAGTGTACTTATTTAGATCATCCCAAACAACCCCTTATTTTCTTGGTAAATTGTTTATAATTTTGAACCTATCTTCTTCATGGTGAAAATGGTGTTGGGAAAATTCAAATTTAAGTTGGCATGAGACTCTTTTAACCATGTAAAGTTGAGAACTTATGTGAGAAGAAAGCGATTTATATTTATAATTGTCACAATATATAGAATTCAGAAGTTGATGGAAGTAGCATGTTGGCCTGCTCTTATCTGCTTATACTAACATTATCCATCACATGTAATATACAAGTGTTTATGGAAACCCTTTTGGCTTATCCATATGAACATTTGTTGACTGTGATTGAATCTTACTATGAGAGGGACATTCTAGTCATACAATTAATGAAACTGAAAGCCTTCTTATTTGGCCTCCTTTGTCCTTCTTGAGAATTCTTTCTCCACATAAACAGTCTGTCTTCTTAGACAGGGTAATTAATGTTGACTTTCTCAATTGTACTATGAAGCACAGATACTTCAAAGAAGGGAGACGTATCCGTATCGGATACGTATCGAATTCTTCTTAATTAATTTTTTATTAAGTTTGGAGTATTGGATACTTTATTTTGAAGTATCAGATACTCGAAATCACATATTACTTCTAATACTTTGTTTAGCTCTTTGATAAGAGGAATATAGTGAGAGTTAAAGTAATAGAATTTGTCAAATTGATGTATCCTTATTGTCTCTCTCACTTCTCTCTCGCTCTCTTGCTCTCTCATTCTCTCACATTTCTTCTCTTTGCTCTCGTTCTTTTTTTGTGTTGGCATGTAAGGATGATATTTAATTTACATTTACTTTTGCTTTTAGTTTTGAATGTTTTATGAATGTTTGAAGACTCTTAGCTTAATAGGCATCCCTCTCTTTATTTATTAATTTGCTTTAGGTTTTATTTTCATACTTCTTACATTATTAAAATTATAAAAAAATAATTTTTTTTTTTATGAATGTATTCTCGCTATACCCATATTCTACTTTTTTAGATTTTGGCATATCGCCGTATCCATATCCCCGTATCGCCATATCCCGTATCTGTATCCGTGCTTCCAAGCAATTAAATAGGTGGTAGTTGGCTATTGGTCGTATTCTGTGTGGTACATTCTGCAGACCATGCCAGAAATTAATTGTCATTTATGCCACAGCCTTTGTAATTGCACTCAAGCTCTCAAAGAAAGTCAATTGCCTCATTGTACCGTGTCTATTCATCTGGATTGTAGGGGAGTTCCTTGAAATTTTTTAATAATGAAGGAATGACCTAACTATTTAGATAGTGTTTGCTCCTTTCTTCTTTCTGCCTCTAAACTTCATCATAATAAGCTAGGGGGGTTTCGGCCCCCATTCTACTGCCTTTTTGTATAATTTCATCTATAAAAAATTGAGTTTCATTTTTTTTATTCTGATTAGTGTTTCAAACCATGCCCTTGATGATGAATCCTAGATTGTAAGCCTGGTGTATGCTTCATTCCTGTTCATGACTATGGCCTCAATATTGAATTAATTGTGTAAATTAACATATACGAGCTTTGTCAAAGTTTGGCCTGAATATTGAATTAATTGTGTAAATTAACATATACATACAAGATTTGTCAAAGTTTACATAGTATGGTCATTAATTCTTATGTTTCGTAGCTATTTCTTTTACTAAAAGATGACGTCTCAAAATCTAGGTAGCTGTTGAAGATGAAATAATTTTACTTTTTGTTGACAATCATACAATATTCTTGTTGCTTGTGCATAATACACTTCCCATATTTGAAAAGGTTTTTTTTTTATTGGACCACTATAGCTGTTAAAGGATTTTATGAAAGTTGACTATGCAATTCAATTAGGCTATTTTGACTAGACATGTTAAAAGTCTAGTTTGTTTAACTTTCAGATTAATCTTGGAATTTACATGAAAGATGACAGCAAAGAGTTCTCAATCTTGGTAGATAGATCTGTGGGTGGGTCCAGCATTGTGGATGGGCAACTGGAGTTGATGCTCCATAGGTTTGTGCAGATTCTGTTGCATGTTACTTCCAAAATTCTGTTAATTATTAAATCTTCATTAAAACAGGTCATGATAATTAATATCTCTTAATTACAACAGTTCCAAGATTGATAATCTGGTTTTCCGTTGTGTAGGAGATTGGTTCATGATGATTCTAGAGGAGTTGCAGAGGCTTTAAATGAAACAGTTTGTATTCATGACGAATGCACTGGATTAACAGTAAGCACATTCTACCATGAATTTTTAATCCATTTCTTCCTTCTTTTTTGCCATTTCTTCTTTTCAAACAGAATTCTGCATGAGATCATTACTTCATGTGCTGGTGATGTTAAGTATACCCTTTGTGTTTTCTTGATTCCCACTTCAAAAGTCTGCCAACTTACAACCAGAATGTTCCTTGACAATGATTTTGAAATCAATTATCTTGTTTGTTTATGCTTGAGGACTTCTGTTTTCTTCCCCTTGTACTTTCTCATGTGCTTGTAGCTTGGAGTTTCTTTAGTTCATCTGGTTTTGGGTTAATATGTCAATCATCTTGTTTCCAATGGAATGTATTTTCATGCTTTTATTTTTATTTTTATTTTGAGATACTGGCTTTCATAATCTCATCCTTAAGTGTTTGTTAACATGATGTACTTTTGCTTCACCAATTTTCTTATGGATTCACAACAGCCATGAGTGATTTGCTTAAAAATATGTTTCTCACAGGTCCAAGGAAAGTATTATCTCAGAATTGATCCTCTGGGAGAAGGAGCTAAGTGGCGTCGATCATTTGGTCAGGAGATATATTCTCCCTTTCTGTTGGCCTTCACCGAGCAGGTGACAGAAAGACCTAGAAATGGTTTTGTAGCCGATGAGCTAAGTTTCTTAACAGTAACACATAATTATTCATATTTTTCAGGATGGAGATAAGTGGACAAACTTTCAAGTACCAACCTTTTCAGGGATGGACCCCTCCTACAGTCTGCCTGAAAATATTGCAATGATAACCCTCCAGGTATTTTCTAGAACTCGATGAAGTGGAATGGAATTAACCATCCGTCATAATGTCAATGCTCACATTGGGTTCACTAAAAAAATGATGAAAAATGTATTACAAATGAAGTCATCATTTACCACTGTAAGCGAATAGTCACTCCATAAGGAGGCTAAGAAATGATCATTCCATTCTATTACATTCCAGTGAATCAAACATTACAATTGCCTCCATAGATTGTTCCACATTGCTTGAGCACCGAATGCTAACCTGTAAAGTTCTTGGGAATACCTTCCACATTATTTCTCTTTCCTGAATACTGCAGGAGCTTGAAGACAGAAAAGTTCTCCTTCGGTTGGCACACTTATATGAGGTATTTTAATTCATGTCATATTATTAAAAAAAGAAAAGAAAAATCAGCTTTTTGGCTTAACTCTTCTTTCGCTTAAGGTTTGCTTAGGAAATGGATGTAATTTCTTTTAACACTTCCTTCGTTTAACGTTTGCCTAGGAAATGGTTCTAATTTCTTTAATTATGTTACCCTTCCGTGAAACATTCTTAATTGCACAACAATTGGTCAGTTGAATCATCATCTTTTGGAATAACGTAATACATAATCTACTTGTTCACATCATTCCTTTTTAACTTTAATCTTAACTACCAGCATATATGGATCTTACAATCCCATTTGCTATAGGTTTTAGGCCAGTGATCACCTTTGTTAATATCTTCAGTTTTCTTTCACAATAACAATAGGTCTCTTTGTTTTTATTGTTTTTTTGTACAGGTCTACAGATGCTCTTTATTATTTATTTTTCTGCCACAGTGCTCCTAGTTTAATGCCAATCCCTTGCATTTATAACCATGGTTGTTTAAATGATTCTATAATGTAATTAGAGAGATTTTACTTGGTTTCGTAAATTTACACTTCTTTTTTTTTGCCTTAGATTTGCTTTTAAGAGGGAAGTTTGGTAATAAAAAACATTGGCTGAAATCATTTCTAAAGTTCTGATATAGAAGCCAACAATGCTAGGTGAAACATTTATATGGTTGTTGATACATTGTATAATCTAGATGGAATCTGGGTTGTGTTTGTACGTCAAATTCACTGCACGGTAATCATTAAATGAACAGATTGACCAAGTTCATTGTGAAAACTTGTAGAAAAATGATAACCTCCGTTTTCCAATGCAGAGCTTGTATTCTAAACCTAATTATTGTTGCTTATCTAATTCTAGGTCGGCGAGGACAAGGATCTCTCAGTTACCTCAAGTGTAGAATTGAAAAAAATGTTTCCGGATAAAAAGGTAAACGTAATATGCATGGCAATGTATCGGCCTCTTTCATGAAAACTACTACATAATGCTTCAAAATGCTGTGTGTAGATAAACAAAATTACAGAAATGAGTTTATCAGCTAATCAAGAAAGAGAAGAAATGTTAAAGAAAAGATTGGTTTGGAAAGTAGAAGGAGCTCGGGATGAAGAATTCAAAGTTTTGAGAGGAGGTCCTGTCGATCCTATAAAGCAGGTGGTGGAACTTGCCCCGATGGAAATTCGCACCTTCGTTATCAACTTCACTTCACCCCCGGCTTCACTTACAAAAGGTCATGTGTTGTAAGGTACGAAATGTATAATGCGAATCACAACTTCTTCATAAACTTCATCATGGCTTGATTCAATTCGATTTATTTATTTGTTTTATTTTATTGTTCAGGTAAGCTGCTTGCAATGGGTTGGTTAAATTTTTAACATATCCTTGTTGATAACAGTACACAATTTTTTTCAGGTTTTCCAATACCAAATGGCATAAGCTTCTCTCTCTATTCGATTGTGAAAGGGAATAATGATTTACGTGCGATGATTTCACGTGTTTTGTGAAGCTTCAGCATTTCTTCTGAAACCTCATGTCTCCTTTTCATGTGATTTTGGAGGAAAACAATAATCATGAGGTCAATAATGTTTAAAGAAATCATGTAGTTTAAGATTTATTGACAGTTGGCTGCTGGTTGTTATTGGATTTTATGTGGGTGTAAAAAAAAAGTTTATGTACACTGTAGTTCAACATGTTGGCTGTTGCTTGGTGCTTGCACAACCTCATGAAATTAACTGTTTAAAGTTTTGTTTTGTTTTGTTTTTGCAGTACTTACTGTTTTAAGTATTAAATAGCGGACCTTGATGCAATGGTAAGATTGGTAAGTTTTTAAAAATTATCAGAGACAACAATTATTGAACATGGAAAAAAAAAGGGAGAATATTATAATTCAGTATAAGTTTAAAAGAAAATTTTTAAATCAATGATAAACTTTACCAACATTGGTAATTTAAAACGAACTTTTTACATGAATCTACATATATATATATATATATATTTTAAAATCATCGAATTGTAATCCCCCTCCCAAAATAATAATAATAATTGACGTCCCTGTACCAATTACATCAAAGCCAAAGTTAGGGGAAACTCCATTTTTAATCAAGTCGGCATCTTCCAAAATGAGTATATTCTATTGTCTTACTATTAAAGGTCGATTTAGTTTTGAAATCCAAAAGAAAATTATTTTTTGATTTGGTTTTGATTTTACTACTTTTTGAACCAAATAAAACTAAAACAACTGAGATTATTTTATTTTAGTCTTAGAATTCGCAAAACACACATACTCTACACACCAAAGCAAACGTAAACAAAGCTAATCATATTCTAGAGACTACTTATGAAAATATAATTTTGTTTGACAAATTCATATTAATTTAATTGTGGGCTTGATTTTGCTGAATGTTCATTTTTATTTTTATTTTGTTTAACATATTTGTATTTTGGGCAAATTACTCATAAATCCTTTTTGAAAAGTGTATATTCTATTTAATTCCAAAACTTTTTAAATAGACCCAAAAGTTCTGTGCCCATTTATCTTCTCTTATTTCTCTGTATCTTGTTTCTTCTCTTTATCTCTCTTTCTTTAATATCCAACAACAACAACGACCTCGCCTTCCTTCTTTCTTTCTTTTTTCCTCTTTCTAATCTACAGTCACCGGCGACCGGCGACTACCATTAATTGGAGTTCATCAGCAACCACCGAGCACCGACTCATCGCTTTGTGCTCACCAACAGTGAAGGAAATGTGTTTCTAACGAAAAAGATGAGTGAATCTACTCAAATCTAGTGTAGATCTACTATCAGATCTGAGTATATCTACGTCAAATTCGGCTAGATCTAAACCAAAAATAGTTGCTGGAGTAAAAGCATCTCTCTATATCTGTCTCTTTCCTTCGATATCTCACTTTTTTTATCTTTTCTGTACTACACACTTCTATTTTCCTGTTATAATGAAGAAAATTTTCAAGTTTTGAACAAGTTAATTTTGAGTTTTAATTACAGGTGGTGAAAACTCTAAAATTTTATAGTTTTAGTTTTTTTGGTGCTGAAATGAATCATTCTTTAGAATTATAAAATTTTACAGTTTCATAACTTTCTTTAGAACTGTAAAATTTTACAGTTTCATAATATGTTTTTTAATTTGATTAATAAGAATAAATGCTTAATAGAATCATACTTTTAAACTATAATATTTTACAATTTTAAAACTTGTTTTTCAGTTTGATTAATATTAGAAATTATTTGCTTAAACCCTACAAAATTGAAAATAACATATGTTTTTTTCCATTGTTGCTGTTTGTTGTTCTTACGTTTGTTTCTTTTTTCTGTTTATCAATATTTAGCACATTTTGCTGTATTTTTTCACTCTAATTTCTCAATTTATTTTTTTCTTTGGCAATATTCTGGACATTCCGATGAGTATTCGGTGATATTCTTGATTTACAGTGAATATTCTAGATTCCAACGACTTCCAGTGACGTTTAGAACACTTCAACAACACTCTAGTGAATTTTCGGTGATACTCCGACGACTTTCTGGTGATGTCGAACATTTTGACGAGTCACCAGTTACCATCTGACGGAACTCCGGTTGTGGTAGGATGTAGCAGTATCTTTAAATTTTAAAATAAAATTGGTAACAATTAAAAATATGTAAAATTAATTGGTTCAAGTGTTTTGTTTTAGGATTAGATAAGTTTTAAACTTTGTGGATGGGACGAGACCTACGGGTAAATTCCCCTTGTATTTTTATTAGAAGGCATTGTGGTTTTATTAAAGATTTTAGGCCCAAAAGGCAGCCCCAAACTGAAAGCCCAAATCATTTTACAACACCAAATTGAAGTTTCAATCTCTTCTCGTTCCATGCAGGTAACCGTATCGGGATGTGTGAGACTCAATGTTGGGGGTATTTTGTGTAACTTAAAGGCCTTCAAGTCAGCAGAAGGAAAACTTAGAATACATCAGCTAACGATTGGTGGTCTCTACGGGATATCAAACATGCAGTTTGAAGAACTAAAGTTTATACTTGGTGCAGATAACCATAAGCAGGTCAGGGCTCGCAAACCATGGTTTTATTGTGGTGGGCAATTGTATCTATTTTGAAATGATGATGGCGTTATCTCCGATAATCGTATCCAATTTGGAGAAAATCTTTTTGCCCAAACTCGAGTTTTTCAAATCTAAAGGTGTTTCAAGCAAAGATGTTGTCAAAATACTATCCTCAACTCCCACTATTCTACTAAGAAGCTTGAAAAACCAAATCATCCCATCTTTCAATTTTTACAAAAAAAAATTGATTTAATTTGAAGAGGAAACGGTATTCGTTGTTAAACGCTATGTAAGGCTTCTTTTGCTTGATCTTCAAGCTTGTGTGGTACCTAATCAGTGTGCCAATTGTCAACAAAAAGAATAGGTGTAATGAAATCTATTTAAGGGTTTTTCAAAGTGTGTAATTTGGGATTTTTGATTTGTTTATTATTTGGGTGTACCACAAATTATGATTTTATGTTGAAGGGAAATTTGTGAAAAAATAAGAGTAAATTATAAAGGTTGTTATTAATACCTACCTAATTTCTTTGAAACCCTCCAATTCTCATCTTTTTTTTTATTACAATTATACCCTGAAGTAAAATTACAGTAACACCATCCTAAACCCTAAACTAGGGGTGTGCACGGGTCGGTTCGGACCGATTTTACCATCAACTCGTCAACCGAACCGATAGTATCGAATTAGGTAGCCATTCACCCATTTTCGACCGATTTGTTGATCGAAATCGACCGAATCAAATAGAATGATTTGGCTGTCAGTTCGGTCGAAATAAAAAATAAGAGACAAAAATGGAGAAAAATTAATTCAAATCTCAAATTGGTACTTCAAATCTCAAATTGATAGATACATGATGATACATTATATATACATAATATCGATTTAAAAAAACAAAACAAAATCAATGCAGTTCTATAAGAGAGAGACAAAAAACAAACTAAACACTACCATCTTTTATCATTGCTACCACTCATCGTCACTGCCATCACTCGCCAACATCAACAAAGGGGAAAATCGAACATCAAAAATGGGTTTTTGTTTTATGATTTATAAGATGAGAACAATTTGAATGAATAGTTAATACTGTGAGAGAGAAAGAGAAAGGGTGAGAAGAGAAAGAAAAAAAGATGCAGAGATTACAAAAAAAAGGACAGCGAGAGAAAAAATAGAGATGAGAGAGATGTGCAGAGATAAGATAAAGAAAGAAGAGGAAAAGAGACAAATGTCTTGAAAAATGTAAAGGAAAGAAAGGGGAAAGGACAATAAGAGATAGACATAGAGAGAGAGAGAGAGAGAGAGAGAAAGACTCTATTTGTGTGTGTCTTGAAAAATGTAAAGAAGACTAAAGTCAGTCTCTTGGTAAAAGTGAAAGTAGTGTATTAGGTTAAATATAATAAAATATAAATATAGATTATGAAAAATGCTTGGGGGCACTAAAAATGGAGCACTAGGAGGAGCACTAATGATGTGGCAGTGGGCCCTACTTTTTTTTTTTTTTTTTTGCCATTCCCAATGCATTAGTGCTATTAGAGGTGTATTTTTTAGTGGTCTAAATCATTGTTGATAGATTATATAGTGTAGATTTCTAGATCAAAGATTAGTCTATTGTCTAGATAGATGTAAAAGTAGACTAAAGGTTAGGTTGAATATAAAATATAAATATTGTGTAATATCCCAGACCAATAGGAAAACGGAGTAAATAAATATATGTGCGGGTTGGTTTGGGTTTGACGAGTTCGACTGCTTTAAGCCCGTTGTTCGAACCGAAATCTAGAATTTTGTCTCTCAAAAAACCGCAGTTGACCGCAGTATATGTTGAAACCGTACGTATCTAGTGCGAGTCGATCGGTCTGTACAGGTGGAATCGGGTTTATAGTTCTTTGCACACTCCTACCTTAAACTCTAAACTAGAAACCAGTGCCTGAATTGGAATGGATGTCTATTATTTTGTTTGTCATATTGAATTGGAATAAAAAGAGTGAATTGAGGGTTAAGTTACACTGTACTAAATAAATGCTATCCGTCAACACAATGCTGAAAAAATTATTTATGTTCGGTAACACAATGCTAACAAATTTGTTCATGTTCGGCAACACAATGCTAAACCAACCCTTGAGCAGTTGACGGGCCGAATGATCGGTGGTCTACTGGTTGTATGATTTTGGCTCAGTTTTACAATAATGATGCAATGGTTTTGATATAATAGAAATCGTTATTCACTAATTTCGAATAAATCAAATAAAGGGACCGTCGTCATCGTTCTTCAACATGAGAGGGATTGTCATCGTCGTTCTTCAATAAGAGAGGGATTGTCTTCAACCATAGTGAAGAGGGTGTGCAAAATTAGGTGGGTGTGGGAGCCGGATAAATGGCGGAATCAGAAGCGTACACTTTAGAAGAAAGATATTACTCAGCTCTATCCTGCACGATCAGGAGGCCGAATACAATAGATAGGCCGAGTACCTATTGAACTATGGAGTCGAGTAAATAAGAGGATAATGAGTGAAAAGTGGGCCTGACCCGAGGCCCAAGAAACAAGTATAAATAAAGGAACAACAGACTAAGAAATGTATGTGAGAATTAATATGCTTTACTTGAAATACAAGTAACCGAAAGAGAATAGCGACTGACTTGTCCGTCGGAGTGCTAATTCCGGCACCTCCGATCGGAGTGTTCATTTCC